AGATGGTGAGTGTGTGTGCTGTAGTTGTGTACAGTTGTGTGTGTGTGCTGTAGTTGTGTAGGGTGTGTGAGTGTGTGTGCTGTAGTTGGGTACAGTTGTGTGAGTGTGTGTGCTGTAGTTGGGTACAGTTGTGTGAGTGTGTGTGCTGTAGTTGTGTACAGTTGTGTGAGTGATAAAAGCCACAGCTGTGTTCATTGTCACCATCAGCACCCACTCCCCAGGGTGGCTGGTCAGGCCCCTCACAGGTCACATGTCTTGTCCAGGCTCAGACTACTTTTTATAAGGTTTTTACCATCTGTCCAGTTTTTCCACAAGGATTCCAAGCAACATAGAAAATGCTGTGTTTAAAATATTGCAGTTCTCGAAATAAACATTAAGGTTGCTTGTACTAGGAGATGGGAGCCCTGGTGTGGCATTGTGGGTTAATGCACCAGACTGCATAGCCATTTGAACTGCAAGGTCAGCAGTTCAAGCTCACCAGTTGCTCCATGGAAACTCTATACAGGGTCGCTATGATTCAGAACTGACTTGATGGCACTTAACAACAACATGCTATAGGATAAGCACTGGACTGCTAACCGTAAGGTCAGCAGTTCAGACTCTGAGTCACTCGGAAACCCTATACAGGATTGCTGTGAGTCAGAACTGACTTAACGACCATCAGAATTTCTAGCTTATCTCCTGGGTCTACAGATTTCAGACTCAAGATGGTTGGAATACCCTGTTGCTATTCCAAAGCTCCTTCCACATTTCTAGACACTTATTACTGCAACACCCCACTTAGCTGCAACTGATCAAATGGAGGGCTCCAAGTTCCCAGTTTCCTGGGATGGACAGACCAGTGCCACGGACTGGGTGCTTTAGAAGCTCAGAAATAGATCGTCTCACAGCTTTGGAAGCCAGAGGGGTTCACACCATGTTTTATTCCTGTTTCCATATTTTCATTCTGGGGCTCCCACTGTTGGTAGTGACCCTTGGTGTACCGTGGCTTGTAAAAGCCTCTTCATAAGGCTGGCTTTCCTCTGTGTGTCCAGGCCTCTGCATATCTTCTTCCTTGGCGCATAATGACTATGTTGGTGTATTCTTGGGCCCTCACCAGCTGCCTCCTGGTGGTTGTGACCAGAAGGGCTTGTGCACTGTTCTGTGTGTGTTGTGTGTGCAGTTGGGTGCAGCGTGGATTTAGCCGATGTTGGGTGTTGTCGATCCCTGGGATAGCAGATGGTATAGACTCTTGCCCACTGGGTGTGGCGGCTGGGTGGTATGGACAGGGTTACCGTCTCCTGTCAGGTGAGGCATGAAGAGAAAACACATGCAAAAGAGAAGGGAAACAAACAATCCCAAAATAGTAAAGGTGCTGGGTAAGCAGACAACAACTGAAAAAAACAAACCCAGAAAAGAGAGGAAAATAAAGAGAAACAAGAAAAAGATTTCAACCCAAGAAGAAGAAGGAGTAACAAGGAAACCGACCAGAGAGGAGTGAAAAAAACAACAAAATGAGGGATAAAAAGAAGAAAGGAAAAAAGCTGAAGTTGGGGAAGAGAAACAGCAAAAAAGAAAATATAGAACATTCAGAAAGCAAGAGAATCAGCCAAAACAATGAAAGTGAAACAAAACACAACCAAATCAGAGCAGGTGCCAGACCCAGAGAGGAGACAACGGGGTCTCTAGCCAGCCCAGGAGCTCAGGTCGTGGGTGGGTAAGGGACGAGATGGTACCACTCAACCCTCATGGAGTTCTGTAGCGCTAGATGCTGTCTATTCTGGGCACCCAGTCTGGTCTGGAAGTAGTTTGTGCAGACCCCAAAGCAGCCGGGGCATCAGGGTAATTTCCATCCCCGAGGGGAGCTGAGGGTGAGAGGGCTTCTAGTCCAGGGCTGACCAGAATGCGCCACCCCTTGGCATGCTGCTGGCTACCCACACCCTTTGATGCAACTTGGACCGTCTTTTGATGCTTTGTGCATTATTCACTATTTTGCTCAGAGAATCCTTCAATATTGAATTCAGGTCTTGAGTTTTTTTCCTTCAGTTCTTTCAGCTTGAGAAATGCTGAGCGTGTTAAGATCTCTGCACATTTCTAAAGCTGCCCTTGAACTTGCCTGTTCAGCTCTTTTACATCATCCTTCCTTCCCATCGCTTTAGGGTCAAGAGCAAGTTTCAGCTCTCTGCTCCTCCCCGTTCGACAGGCAGCCGCAGCTTCTCTTTCAGTACCAGCCGCATCCCTGAGTCAAGATGGTGAAGGTTGGAGTCAACGGATTTGGCCGTTTTGGGCTCCTGGTCACCAGGGCTGCTGTTAACTCTGACAAAGTAGAGGTTGTTGCCATCAACGACCCCTTCACTGACCTCAATTACATGGTATATATGTTCCAGTATGATTCCACCCATGGCAAGTTCAATGGCACTGTTAAGGCTGAGAACGGGAAATTTATCATCAATGGGAAGCCCATCTCTATCTTCCAGGAGCGAGATCCCGCCAACATTAAGTGGGGGTGATGCTGGTGCTGAATATGCTGTAGAGTCCACCAGTGTCTTCACAATCTTGGAGAAGGCTGGGGCTCACTTGAAGGGTGGTGCCAAAAGGGTCATCATCTCTGCCCCTTCTACTGATGCCCCCATGTTTGTGATGGGCGCGAACCATGAGAAGTATGACAACTCCCTCAAGATTGTCAGCAATGCCTCCTGCACCACCAACTGTTTGGCTCCTCTGGCCAAGGTTATCCATGACAATTTTGGCATTGTGGAGAGACTCATGACCACAGTCCGTGCCATCACTGCCATGCAGAAGACTGTGAATGGTCCCTCTGGGAAACTGGCGTGATGGCCATGGGGCTGCCCAGAACATCATCCCTGCATCTACCAGTGCTGCCAAGGCTGTGGGCAAGGTCATACCTGAACTGAATGGGAAACTTACTGGCATGGCCTTCCGTGTCCCTACTCCTAACGTGTCTGTTGTGGACCTGATCTGCCACCTGGAGAAAGCTGCCAAATATGATGACATCAAGAAGGTGGTGAAGCAAGCATCAGATGGACCCCTAAAAGGTATCCTGGGTTACACTGAAGACCAGGTCATATCCTGTGACTTTTACAGTGACACCCATTCTTCCACCTTTGATGCTGGGGCTGGCATTGCCCTCAACAACCACTTTGTCAAGGTCATTTCCTGGTATGACAATGAATTCGGCTATAGCAACAGGGTGGTGGATCTTACGGTCCTCATGGCTTCCAAAGAATAAGAGCCCCCTGGACCACCAGCCCCAGCAACGGCACTAGAGGAAGAGAGAGGCCCTCAGCTGCTGGGAGTCCTTACCCCAACTCTCATCCCCCTACACACTGAGAAACTCCCATCCTCAGTTTCCATCCAGACCCCCTGGAGAAGGGGAGGGGCTTAGAGAGCCCAGTCTTGTTATGTACCACCAATAAAGTACACTATCCAGCCAAAAAAAGAGCAAGTTTCAGAGTCTCTTCTGCCATGTACTTTGGTCTTCCTTTCCTGTCTTTTTAATGACCTTTTGCTTTTTTTCTGTAGGATGTTCTTGACGTCATTCCACAATTCTGGTCTTTCATTATTACTGTCTAATGCATCTAATCTGTTCTTGAGATGGTTTCTAAATTCAGGTGAGATGTGTTCAGGGTCATATTTTGGCTCTCATTGATTTGTTTTAATGTTTTCTTCAGCTTCAGCCTGAACTTGCATACGAGCAATTGATAGTCTATTCCACAGTCTGCTGATGTGTTCCACAGTTTTGGGTGATGATACGGAGCTTTTCCACCATCTCTTCCCACAGATGTAGTCAATTTGATTTCTATGTATTCCATCTGGTGAGGTCCATGTATATAGTCATCTTTTTTGTGGTTTAAATGAGATATTGGCAACGAATAAGTCATTAATCTTGCAAAATTCTTATGCGATCTCCAGCATCATTTCTATTACCAAGGCCGTATTTTCCAACTACAGATGCTGCCTTTGTTTCCAACCTTTGCATTCCAATCACCAGTAATGATCAATACATCATGATTACGTAGTGGTAGAATTCTTCAATCTCATCATCACTGA